GGACAGCAGGCAGGCAGGCAGGCAGGCAGGCAGAGGGTGGACTGGCTACCATCTGACAGCCAGCTTCCCCACGTACGACCCCTCCCTAGAGTAGGGAAAAGAGGAAACGGTGACGTCCCTGGCCAGGAAACCCTACTGTGCCTGCAACTCCTTCCCCTGTGGCTCATGGCTCTGCCACGGCCTGAGCCTCTTGGTCTGACTGTACCAGAGACAGGGTGTCGGGCCCTAGGGGTGGAGGGGGTGGAGCATCAGGGAGCTCTGAGGGTGTCTCTGGCCCCAATCCCAGCTCAGCATTCAGCTGTTCCAGCTCCCCCTGATCCAGCAATTCGAAGTCCTCAGTGGTGAGTGCCTCTTCTTCCTCAGGGACAGACAGGGGCTGGGGCAAGTCCTGGGGAGGAGGTGGGAGCACTGAGGGGGAGGGGACCGGGTCACTTTCGGCCAGGCAAAGTAGGGGTGACAGGGTGTTCGGTGGAGTGGGGAGGTCACCACTCACTGCCTCCGGGCTCAGTGTCTCCGCTGGTCCTCCAGGGGAGAGCTTCCCTCCATGTGTGGGAGAGCCTGCCCCGTTGAAGTGCGTGTTCACAAAGTGAAGAGGGGACGAGAGCCGAAGCAAGGTTTCCTTGGCTACCACATCTTCCTCCTCTTCTTCCGAGTCCAGGTCTTGCCTTGAGAGGGCCTGAGGAGGGCCCAGCAGGTCTTCAGGAGGGACTGGCTCTGTCTCCTCTCCCTCCCCCAGCTCCCGGCTCAGGGCTTCCTCTGGCTCACTTGGCAGGCTCTGCTGGTCCAAATCTATGCAGAAAACAAAGAGTCAGGAATGGGTGGACGGGCCTGCTGTTCGGAACTCTCACAAACAGGCAGTCAATTCAAGGATGAGAACTCAGGACATGGAATACTGGACCAGGCCTTAGGCGTTAAGGTCTTTCAGAGCTTGAAGTCGAATTACAGGATCAGTTCCCAGAAAAAACATTTCTGGGGGTGACAGTCAGAGAACATGGCCAGCATCCACAACAGGGAACAGGAAGACTGGGAGGACAAAGGACTTCTCGTACCCTCTGAGACATCAGTTAGCTGTGGAGTTGTGGCCCGGGATACAGAGAAGCCACCACTCTCCAAGATAGAAGCCTCCTCGTCTGACAGCTCTGAGTCTGTTATGGCCAAGGCCAATGCGGTTTTCTTCACATCCACCTGCAGGAGAACCCAGATAACAGAACAGATGAGAAAATAAGAGAACCGATTTTTCAAAAGCACCCCCGCCCACTGCCTCCCACCCTCTTGAGAAGTAGCTGCTCTGAAGCAGATTCTCCTCCAGCCTCTACTTGGCATCCCATCTCCCTTGGACCTCACCACCGGGGAGAAGCCAGCCAGTTCTGCTTCGCTTTCACTCTCTGTCTCCGCCAGTGGCTCATCACCTCCAGGGGGTGCATTCTTCCCCTGCCGCTCTAGAGAAATAACAGCAGGGCAGTGACCAAGCAGAGACGGTGGTGGGGGACAAACGTGGTCAAGAGACTAGAGAGTATCTAAGTTCCAGGGCACTTCATGAGCCATAAACCGATGCCTTCCCCCACATCCCCCTCCTGGGCATGGGAGCCCCTTACTCTTCTTGTCGTGTTTGTGATGCAAGGCATCAGCTTCTGCCTTCATGCTGTAGTCCAGCTGCATGAGCAGGGGCTCGAGGCGAGTATACATCCTCTGGATCAGTTCATGATAAACCACCAGGGGCCACAACAGGATGCTCAGCACTGGAGGTTAGAGAGTCCACTCAGGGCTTCCTATGCCTACTTCCTGAGGGCCCTCATGCAACTGGTCCCTAAACAGAAATTGCTGAAGGCTTTCTGGAGGCTGGACAAACCTTCTCCCTCCACATCTACCACTCTCCTGCCCAGATGACTCTTCCACCATCACTAACACTCCAGCATCCCCTGGAGATCTCCGTAAACAGATCATCAAAAAAAAAAAAAAAAAAAAAAAAAAAAAGAGAGTGCACCATCCTCCCTTAGGGCTAGCCAGTCCCTTTGACCCAGTCCAAGGAAAGAGAAGGAACCAGCTTTGGGAAAGGCAGAGGTTAAAGTCTACTCACAGACAATGTAAGAAATCATAATCCCCGGAACGTAGTGTCCCAGCACAGCCAGTACAGCACAGCCAGAACAAACTCGAGCACAGAACTGCAGAGAAGAGAACAGGGTCTGAGAGGTATATGCCCCACTCATCTGGGCAAGAAATTGCTGTTCAGCTGGTGGAAGGAGGGGTATGCCTTCTGGGGATGCAGTGATCTAGTCTAGTCAAGAGAATGCCCAAGACAACCAATGCAGTAAGCTTACAATAGACATCATCAAACGCCTACAACTCAGACTGATATCCCTTAACAGGAAACAGTGTCAAAACATCACAAACTTACTCTCTGAAATGAGACTACTCCTGTACCAGGCTACTCGCTGCATGTGTTGCCTCAAAAAGGCACCCAACCCTCTTCCTTCAGTGTCCAGCCAGGGATTTCACGTTACTCCTCCCCATTCCCCTACCTCTATTTCCCCACAGTGCGGGAAACTGTTATATGACATGAAAGAGGTTACCTGAGCTGGATTCTGCCTCTTGTACTGCAGCAGCTCCTGCAGGTGAATCTGGAAGGTGAGCCAGCTCTCAGCCAGGTATCTGCACAACTCGGGCACACTCAGCAGGTGCGGCCGGGCGCCTGACCCCGCACCCTCACTGGGGAGACATGACATGACCCCTGGAGGCCTCAGACACCAGCTTCCTAGGCACTCAAATCCCTCTGAGAATGCCAATGAGATCTTCAGTCTAAAAAACTGGACAACCCCACCTCCCAAAGGGAGGCTGTCCTCATCTTGGGAAGCAAAGCCCAGAGTTCCCAACCCTCTGCCCCCAAAGCATCAGGCACCCAAACACCTAAATAGGAACCCAGGACCGAACTTGTTGCCAGTCCATTTGCTATGCTGGGGTCTCTGCAGACCCTGCAGTGTCGCCCTGCACTGTGGGGACACTGGCGCCAAAGCAAAACAGGGTTTGGGCATTTGTCTTCAAGAGCTGGCCTGCACTCACCTGTCAGAGTGGGGCTCCTCTGGGGATGATGCTATAGAGAGAGGTGGGGAACAAGTTATTGAGTGGTAGGGCTCTGGGAGACACTTCTCAGGGCAGAAACAGTTGCCCCTCCTCTGCATTCCCAGAGCACCTTCAGACACCAACCAGGAAAAGTTACATTGTCATAATTGTTGCTATTTACACAACTGTCTCCCTCTTTAATCACTTTCTTTTAAAGATTTCTTTATTATTTCTAAGTAACCTCTACACTCAACCTGAAGCTTGAACTTACAACCCCGATATCAAGAATGCTCTGAGCCAGCCAGGTACCCCACACTTTAATTTTTTTAAATTAATTTATTTATTTTGAGAGAGAGAGCACACAAGATGCGTGCATGGCGGAGGGGCAGCAAAAGAGAGGGAGAGAGAGAGTCTCACGTAGCCTGACTTGGGGCTCGATCTCACTGCCCTCGGGATCATGACCCGAGCAGAAATCAAGAGTCAGACACTTAGCTGACTGAGACCCCCCAGGTGCCCCTAAACTTCACTCTTTTCAAACACACCTTATTCGTTTTTACATCCCAAGCAGCTCACACACAGGTGACATCTAATTGCTCCAAAATACCCATTCAGTAAATACAGGCATAACAACAACAAAAACAGAACCTAATATTCCCATGATTCCTGTGCTATCTGAACCTCTACCACGAGCACAGAACAGGTATTAATTCATTTAGTCTTCAGTTGCTTACCGACTAAATTCTATCATTCTTGTTTTATAGAAGAGAAAACCGAGGGAAATAGAAATTGAGTGGCTCTTACAAGGTCACACGCACAGCAAACGGCAGAGCAAGCAATGGAACCCAGGCAATGTGGATGTAGAGTCTGCACTCTTAACTACTACGCTCACAGTAACACTAATTTTAAGGTGGTGCCTGGGACCCGGGGGCCTGCTGTACATTTGCCCTCACCATTCAACCCACCCAGCGGGCTCAGGCACAAAGCAAGTGCACAACGGGGCTTACTGAATGAATACTCACCTGCGATGTCAGGGAAGAAGCGAGGCTGCCAGAGATCCAGCAGAAAATAGGCCAAAAGTGAGACGCTGAGTAGGAAGAAGGGCCGGAGGGACGACGAAGAGAGCAACCTTAGGGAGAGACAGGCACCTCAGCGATGAGTGGGTGAGAGGCCCCCGCATCCATCGCGAAAGGCGGAAAAGCGCCCACCGATAGGGGAACCGGAACCTCCAGGCCTACCATGAGACCGGAGACAGAGGTATGGGACAACCCCGACCGACAACAGACGGGAGAAGGGGGTCACTCCCCCGAGGCAAGTGTCAACCCCAGGAACGGGAAAGGTGCTCCCGGCCCCTCCCGCCCCCGCCCGCCCGCGCAGCCCGGCCCCGCCCCCTCCTTCTCCGTGGCCGTTACCAGAAGAGGCCGTTGAGTGCGGCCGCCGTGACCAGGCTGTGCAGCGGTTTCTCCCACACCAGCAGCCGCTGCGCTGCCGCCAGCACTGCCTCCCAGCCGCGGAGCCGCAGCCACAGCGTCGTGGCCAGGCGTCCCACCGCCTCGGCCGTGGCCGCCTCCTCCTCCGCCTCGCCGGTGGCCTCCCCCATGCCTAGGCTCAGACCTAGGCCCAGGCCGAGGCTCAGGCCTGCCCCCGGGCCCCCACCCGCGCCGGTGTTACCACCGCCGCCGCCGCTCGCCATAGCCCCGTCGCAGCCGCCGCCCGAGCCCGCGAGGAGCCAGGGCTGCGCGGCCGCCGCCGGGGGCGCGTCAGGCGGAAGGGGGCGCACGCCGCGGAGAGCGCAGCCGAGGCCGCCCAGGGACCGTCACGTGACGGAGGAAAGACGAGCCCGTCACGTGACGCACCCTAACCGCCGGGATAGGGCGGCCCGCGCCTGCGCACAGGCGGCTGTCAGCGCTCCTATGCTGCGCAGGTTCGTATTGTGGTTGCTGGAGTCGTGATCTCGGGTCGTGACTGTGCGCTGTCCGGCTCCACGGGACCGAAGGACTGTGTATCCGTGTCTTCGCACTCCAGCCGTCTTCCTCTGCCTATGTAGGCAGGGCGGCTAGGGAGTCCCGTGCTGGCCCGGTTTTCCCGGTGTGATGCGGGCCGAAGGGGCAGGAAGTGGGCTGCCAAATGCCCAGTGTCTGGAGTAGGATCTGCTTCAGCACGGGAAGGGCGGCGGCTGTCCCATTAGTCAGTCCTTGACTTACTGGTCCTCCCAGTTCCCTCCTCTCGGCGGATAAACAAACACCAGCGCGTGACTCGACTGACTCGAAAACAGCTTCACCTACTCAGTAAAGTTGTTTCCTCCCCAAACGTAAACTTTACTGCCGGCACGTATCGGAGCTTTTTCCATTCCCTTGCTCAAACGGGAGATTGGGGTCGCGGGTTTAAAAATAGAATCCTGCTTAGCTGTTGTTGCCCCTTGTGGGGGGGGGGGCATTAATTCCATTTACTGAGGCTTACAGCGTACTAGGCGCTTTGTATTTCTTTGTGACCATTTAATTTCTGCAGTGACCCCACAAAATACGTAATTAGGTTTAGAGTTCAAGCTACCGAAAGTAAGGTAAACAGCAAAAAGTAAGTTTCCCTGCCACGTTTCCACAGTGTACCCACTGTTTCTTCTGTGTTTTTTCCGACGCATTTTATACCTGTATATTGTTGTATGTGCGTATCTTTTAAAAACATATTTGGGAGCGACTCGTCCTGCATCTTTGTTCTACTCATAATAACATCCACATTGATACGAAAAGGTCAGCCGGGCTCGTTCATCTTCAGTGTGGCGTGGTCCCCCGGGAATTGTCCTCATTACCCACCCAGACAAGGGCACGCTGGGGCTTAGTTCTGGGACTCGCCCGGGCTCAGGGCGACCAGGATTGCGAGCTTGGCTCCTCCGTGGCGGTCGGGGCTGGCGGCTGGGCCCCGCGGGCGGCAGGAAGTGCCGCGCGCTGACTCGCCGGCGACACCCCCGCGGCTACTAAACGCGGGACAGAGGCACAACACGCGCTTCGCAGCCGGGTCTCCTCTCCACTGGGTGAGGTGAGCGCCCTGGCCTCCGAGGCCCACACCCGGATCGCGGAGCCCGGAGCCCCGAGCCCCGCCCGGGGCGGAACAGGAAGAGGCGCCCGCCAACCCGGCCCCGCCTGCTGCCGCCGGCGCGAGGACAGGGGGCTGCGCTGGCGAAGGCGGCCGTCCGCGCGGGGGAGGACGGCACCCAGGCGAGGGCTCCGCGGCTCCCTTACCATTCGTTCCCTTCCACTTTCTCAGGGCGGCAGGTGGCGGCGCGATGGACTTGGCCGGGCTCCTGCTGGACGAAGAAGGCACCTTCTCCCTCACGGGCTTCCAGGACTTCTCGGTGAGAGCGCGGCCCGCCCCCTCCCTGGCCTTCCTGTGCTTGAGCTCGGGATCCCCGGCGCTCCTCTCGCGGCCCGGGCGGCGCCGCGAACTCGCCTGACGGCTTGGTGCGGAAGCCGGGCGGCAGCTACTCGAGCTTTCACTACTCGAGGCCCCGGCTCCTTGGGCCCTGAGGGAGAGTCGCGGGGTAGGGGACCTTCTCCGAGAACCTCTGCTGGAGAGTAGTCAGTGGTGGAGGATTATCTCCCCGCCTCGCCCCCACGCTCAGTGTAGATAAACTACCATTGGCAAATAATCTAGAGAACGGGGCTGGGTGGGGCATGTGTCCCACCAGCAGTGAGGTGAACCCGCCGCCCCGCACCCCATTCCCAGCCTGGAGCCAGGATCTCCATCGTAGCCTTCCCTGCCTTTCACCCTCCACCACCTGCCATTTCAGTTCCTCCCTGGACACCAGAAGCTCAGCGCTCGGATCCGAAGGAGACTCTACTATGGCTGGGACTGGGAAGCTGACTGCAGCTTGGAGGAACTCTCCAGCCCCGTGGCAGGTTAGTGTTTTGTACCTGGGCAAGTAAGAAGCATGAAAATGGGGTTGTCAGCAGCCACCAAAATAACTCAGTGTACCCCATGAGCTACACCGTCTTTTCATAGCTAATTTATCGATGTCTGGTGTAAGGACTGGGTTTCCATTCCACATTTTTTTAGTTTGAGTGAGTAAAAAAAACATTGCTATCTTACAAATCTGTGCCACTTTTTAAAAAAATTATTTATTTTGAGAGGGTGTGTTAGAGTGCGTGTGTGTAGGGCGGGGGGTAAGACAGCGACAGAGAGAGAGAGAGAGAGAGAGAGAGAGAGAGAGGGAGAATTCCAAGCAGGCTCCTCCCTGTCAGCTCAGAACCTGACAGGGGGCTCGACCTCACTAACTGTGAGATCATGAGCCTGAGCTAAACTCAAGAGTCTGGATGCTTAACTGAGCCACCCAGGTGCCCCCACTGTTGATTTGTATAGGAGAAACACATCATATGTATCCCAAATTCACAAGGCACATTTATTTTCTCAAATGAGCAAGGTGAAAGACAAATCTAGATAATTTTGGGTGACAGGGAAATAAGCCTTCCTGTTGGAAGGAGCTGAAATCCAAATGTAGAATGGTTTTTTTTGTCTCAACGTGGGGGAATTTGATACATTTTGTTACTGTGGTTCTGTCCCCAAGGCTTCAGATAGTACAGATCTGGGTCTTCTGCTGATAGCACTGGGGATGGGGGTGCGTGGGGGAGTTGGGGGTGGTGGTGGCAAGGGAGGAGTTGTTTGCTTACTCTGTCTTCCCTTTGCCTTCTGCAGACATTGCTGTGGAACTGCTCCAGAAGGCAGCCCCCAGCCCTATTCGCCGGCTCCAGAAGAAATACGTAGCTCATGTGTCCCGGTGAGCTTGGAATTGAGGGGGATAGGGCGGTAGTATTTGGGCCCTAGAGAAAGGGGAAAATGGTTGTCTCTAAAGAGAAGGTATAAAGACACAGGGATGAGCATCATAAGAGTTATAAGTGTTGAAAGACCCTTGTGGTTAATTACTGATCCTTCCTGCCCCCCAGGGAGGCGTGCATCTCCCCGTGTGCTATGATGCTTGCTCTGGTGTACATTGAACGGCTCCGCCATCGAAACCCAGACTACCTACAGCACGTGTCGTCCTCTGACTTGTTCCTGATCTCCATGGTAAGACGCCCCCTCTCCTTCTGGGTCCTGGTGACCCAGGAGCCGGGTGTGAGCGCTTCTGATACCACCTCTGGCTGCCCTGCAGATGGTGGCCAGTAAGTACCTCTATGATGAAGGGGAGGAGGAGGAGGTCTTCAATGATGAATGGGGAGCTGCAGGGGGTGTGGCCGTGCCCACTCTCAATGCCCTGGAGAGGGGCTTCCTGAATGCCATGGTGAGTAGCTGTTCTATTTCTCACTTTGTTTCTTTGACCGCTCCTCATGTTCCCTTCATCCTTTGCTTTTCTCAGTCAGCGTTCTGTAGTTTGTTTCTTTTTGCCTCTTCTCCTTGTGTCTTTCCTTATTAGTGTCTTCCCTTCCCAGCCTTTCTGGACCAACCACAGCCTTTGGAGGTTCCTGGCATGGTGAGGCCAGAAATGGAACACCCCCCCCCCACCACCACTCCCGGCCCCACACCATTCCCTAATTCCTTCAGGCCCAACATGTTACACTCTGAGTCAGAGCTTATCTCACTGGGTTCTGATTATTTGCTTCCAGAGTTTCTCTGCCTCATGACTGTGAGCTCCCTATGAGTGTGGACCGTTCTTAGGATTATTTTCTTTCTTTGCCCTTAACTGAGGGTATAATGTGAAACCAGATAATGTGGTATCAAATGAGTTAATATATAAAAGCTCCTGAAACAGTATCTGGCACGTAGTAAGTGCCAAGAAAAGCGTCTGCCGTAGTGGCGGTTGTAGCTGCTGCCGTGGTCTTGGTTGGTTATTAAATGGCTGTGGCTCCTATCTGAACTTGGCCTGGTGCCCTTCTCTTCTTACGCATAGGATTGGCGTCTTTACACTGACCCTCGGGAGATCTTTGAGGTGCTGAGCTGGCTGGAGAGCTGGTAGGTTCTAGGAGTTGGGAAGAGGGGCTTACGGCATTTGGGGGCTTAGATCTAAACCGTTAGGGTTAGGGTGTAACTGGGGGGAGGGAGGAGACAACAAGGCGAATCTCCCAAGGTAATTGTTCCTAAACCTATCTGCCCTCTTTGTAATCTTCTTTGGAAGGGTGGTAGAACCTTATTTAAAACACAGATCTTAGGCTCGCTCTCCGTTTCTGGACCAACAGGTAGTTTAGGAACCTGTGTGTATAACAGGTTCCCCAGTGTGGGTCCCCAGGGGAGTGAGGATGCCACTGGGCCAGCAGCAGGAGTGTTGAAGGTGTCCTCTGTCTCTCTCCCCTTCCAACAGTGTGGCTGAGCAGCAGGGACGGCGGCGGGGCTGGTACACCTACACAGACCTGTGTGTGCTGCTGGAGCAGCCGGCCTGGCAGTTGGCCCTGGGCTCCCTCTGCCAGCGGCTGGCAAAGGTGAGGAGGATTGGGAAAGATAGGGGCCTTAACTGGGCTGGTGTGTAAGGTGGGGTGAGCAAATGCTGAAAGTCTCAGGAAATGGGGTTTGAGAGTAGATGGCGACAGAGAGCTCTGACTTGAGCACAAGTTTCCAGACAAGGGATGGATGTGTTGAAGGCAGTCAGAAGCAGGTTTTGGGGGAAGGGTATTTGGGCACTGACTTTTCTTATCTTCGCTCCCGCAGCTGTCTTGCCTGTTAGCTATGGCATATGTGAGCAGTGTGGCCTTGGCTGTGGCGTCGCTGGCTGTAATTCACCAGTCCTTGGGGCTGCCCTGCAGCCCCTCGCCCGGCCCCCCGGACCTTGGACTGGCCTCCAGGTGCCTCTTGGAACCCTGCATACCTTCTCCCGTGCCACAGTGCCTGCCATGTCCTGTTAACGTCTCCAGCTGCCTGGATGGTGACACAGGGCTGCGTTCACTCTGGGGCAGTCTTCTGGCTTCACTGACTCCTCCACCATTGCCTCCCCCAGACCCTCCTGCCCCTCCCACTCTTTTCCATAACTGTCCCCTTTGCCAGAAGCTCCAGAGAGACTCCCCAAGCTGCCACGCCTGCCACCACTCCAACCATACTGTCTCCACTGGGTCTCCCAGCCCTGGGTACCACTCCCGTGGCCTGGCTCCACCCTGGCTCTGGAGTCCAATGCCCCCCCTGCTCCCCCCGCCCCAGCAGTGTTCCCTTTTCAGTGTCATGGAGCTAGCCCGTCTCAAGTCTTTCATTTTCCCGGGCTAGGCAGGCATTCAACAAATGCATTAAGAGGATTTGGGAATCTCTGAGAACCTAGAGGGGGAAAGCTTGATTTAGATCCTCTCTACCTCTCTGGGTCCTTGGCTGGTCCCCGTCCTCCTAGGTAATGGAGCTTAAGGGGTTGTGGGGTAGAAGGACTGAAGGTCACTCACTCTCCTAGACCTCAGTGGCTGGCTGCTTGGCCAGAGCAGCGATGGTACCAGGGAAAGCTCCAGCTTGGTGACCAGGGCCACATCACAGCCAGACAGAGGAGAAGCCCCTGTCTCTCCACCTCCCTGGGTTCTAGACTTTTGCTTTTGAGTTCCCTATGATGGAAGGGGAAAAGTGGGGTGAGGGAGGGAGGAAATGTTGATTGGGGGCCTGAGTGATGTCCCTGAAGCAGGAGAGCGAGGGACTGATAGGGCCAAGGTGGGATCTGCCGAGGGAAGGCGGGGTCAGGTGGGAAACCCTCTCCACACCCCATCCCTTGGGTGTAGCCTAAAGGAGCCAGGGACTGCTGCCGCCTTCAGCCCTGCCCTTTTGTCTTCCAACCTCTTCTTAGTACCCTGCTCCTGGGCTTCCCTCTCTTCCAGTTCTTCTCCTGGGTGTTCTCTTCACAGGCCTCTCTGGCCACTGCTTTGTATTTGGGTTTTTCACGCTTTTGTAGAACTGAGGTTTCAATAAACAGTTTCAGTTGCATGGCTGGGATTCTTTCTTCCGCGGCAGCCCTGGAAGAATTTCCTCCCCATATCTAGATTCTAAGCTTTTCTACTTCCTGAGTCCATCATCTTGCAACTCATTTGCTCTGAGCCCCATTTTAGAACTTCCCTGTTGTTTGATGGTTACAGGATTCCATCTCAAACTTACACTCATCCCTGCTCCCAACACTCAGGGGCCTGTAGCACTGCTTTGACTTGGGTGCTCTGGGTCACAGATGGTGACTCTATCATGCCTGAGGTTGGCCCTGTCACAAGTTCTGGGTGGGCTCCATCCTTGTGGATCCTGAGAAGCCAGGGCGAGTGTCCCGAATTCCAGTCTGGTCTGACACATGGTGGTAGTTGGTGTTAAGTCTAAAGCTGGGTTATCACTGGAAGAAAGTAAACTGTTCTGGCACCTGGACTGAGAGTATTTGGGTGGGACTTCTTAAGATGATCCACCACACAGGTAGTACTGTCCCCTAGGGGGCAGTCTGGAAACTTACGGGGCATTTTTTGATTGCAGCAAAAAATTGAAGGGATGATACTGGCATTTAGCTGGAATGGTCCAGATGCTAGGCATCCTGGAATGCTTGAGACCCCTCCCTTATGAAGAGTTCCCAAGATAACTTTGGAATGCCCTGCTGGACATCATGTATACGAAAAGCCTGTTTATCTGAGCATAGAACTATTTTTAACATGTAAACACGAAATCGTTTTTCTACATTTTGGAAAAGACTCAAAGTTTGCCAGGAATGTACCTACGTGTAAATTAAAACTGGACTTTGCTTTGTTCTGCACTTGGCCAAGAACTTGTTCACTACTTTGGAACATCAGGTCACCAATGGCAACACTGCTTGTGATACATGAGTCGCCAGGAAAGCACTAGTATCCGTTGATGTTGTAGTTATCACATCCATGGTTATTCTCTATATGGGGTAGGCAGTGGATGACATTGTCTTCTCCTTTAGTTGGGCCCAAGTTTCACATATGAAATACTTTTTATTTATTTACATTTATTTATTTATTTATTTATTTATTTATTTATTTATTTATTTATGTTTATTCATTTTTGAAAGATCGAGACAGAGCACAAGCAGGGGTGGGACAGAGAGAAAGGGGGACACACAATCTGAAGCAGGCTCCAGGCTCCGAGCTCTCAGCACCAGAGCCTGATGCGGGGCTCAAACTCACGAACCACGAGATCATGACCTGAGCCGAAGTCGGACACTCAGCCGACTGAGCCACCCAGGCGCCCCACAAAATACTTTATATTATCACTTACCTTTATTTCTCCTTTCTGTTGTTACAGTGAGAAAATTATATAGAGTTGTGGTCACTTTTGCCATGCATGATGTAGGGACGTTACCCATGCATTTCCTTCCCAGGTAGTCCTGGGGGCTTGACCCTGAAAGGGTTGAGAACTGGTGTAACCATGATCGTTTCAAATGCTGGTGGTGAGGAGGGAACACTAAAACCTCCCCAGGATATTTGATAAGTCTCCTCCCCACCTCTCCTATCCTACTTTCCAAAGCATGAAACAGGGGATCTACATGGGAGATTCTTGCGGGGGAGGGGTCCAGAACATGGCTCCCCAGTTAATGGGTGATGGAATTTGCACAAGAGCTGGGCAAAGGTGAAAGGGCCTGTCCTGCCCCAAATCCCTCATCCCTTCGCTCCGCTTCACTGATGCCTCCACCCCCTCCCCACTCCAGGCAGCTAACTTCCTCCAAACTCCGACCTCTTACTCTCTCTACTTAACTCTGGCCCAGGGCAGCCAAGACAAGAAGAAAGGCAGTCAGCATGAGCCGATCACACCCCCATCCCGTCCAACTCCAGTCTATGGGCCCCCAGGATGCCCTGGCCACACTGCCGCCACCACCACTCCCACCGCAGCCTGCTGTCCAAAATCCCTCCTCTCACCCTTGGGCCTCTCAGTGTGGGCCTCCTCCCTGGGGCCTCAGCTGTCTTCTGGCTCTGCAGGTAGGAGGCAGAGGTGTAGGAGTTAGTCCTAGCTGAAGGGGTGATGGTGGGGGGGGGGGGGGGGGGGGGGGGGGGGGGGGGGAGAGTAGGCGTGGCATGAGAAACCCTCAGGAAATAGGCATTTCCACCTGTATCTGAAGACTCTCCTTCCCATTTCTTCTCCTGCAGCATATCTTGGTGCTGGCTTCTCTGCTCTGTGTCTCCCACTTGCTCCTGCTTCAAAATCTCCCCCAAGGAGAGCTCTCATATTCCCCTGCCCAACTCCTGGCCTCCAGCCTCTTTTCGTGTGGTGTGTCTACCACCCTGCAAATTTGGATAGGCAGCAGGTGAGGGGAACTCCCTGGAGAGAATGGGGCGGGTTCCTGCAAGCGTGTGTGTGTGTGTGTGTGTGTGTGTGTGTGTGTGTGTGTGTGTGTGTGTGTAGGAGTGGCCTGAGGAGTCCTTTTGGCTGCCACTTGTCTCTAGTAGCCAGGGCTGCTATTCCTACAGGCTGCCTCTTGTCCAGGCTCCGTCCTTAGAGTTCCTTGTCCCTGCTCTGGTGCTGACCAGCCAGAAGCTACCTCTGGCCATCCGGACACCTGGAAACTGTGAGCACAGAGCAAGGGCACAGGGTGAGGGTGGAGTGGAGTGCCAGTCTGAGCCTCCAGACCTGGGTGGGCACAGGATTGAGAGTGGGCAGTGGTGGGAACTGCTAGGCTACGGGGTCTTGGAGCTGTGCCCCGGACCAGCAAGGACTGTAGAACAATGGGGCTCTGTCCCACTTACCTGTCTCCTCTCCACGCCCCCAACTTTCCCCAGCCTCCCTTGTGCTGCGCCTGTGTGGGGGGCCTGGCTGCCATGGCCTGGCGCTCCGGAACACTTCTCTCCGAGAGGTGAGTGCCTGGGGATGGGGCGCAGGAGGGCCGAAGGTGGTGCCAGGATGGAGGAGGTTCCTGTTTCCATTTGCTGGGGCCTGAGATGATCTGGGGGAAGGAGTTGGGACAGAGACCCGCCCCCTGGGATTAGTTGAGAAGTCCAGACTGAGGTCAACTTGATGGAGCAGAATGCACCCTCTTTGTCTTTTTCTCGGCTTCTACAGGTGTCCGGGGCTGTGGTGGTATCTGGGGTGCTGCAGGGAACGCTGGGGCTGCTGGGGAGTCCTGGCCATTTGTTCTCCCACTGTGGGCCCCTGGTGCTGGCCCCCAGCCTGGTGGTGGCAGGGTTCTCTGCCCACAGGGAGGTGTCCCTTTTCTGCTCTACTCACTGGGGCCTGGCCTTGCTGTACGTAAGTCCTGAGGGGCATGGGGTGGTGACCAGTGGGCTGTGCGGGACGGGGGGAGGGCAGAGCAGCTGGCCCTACCCGATTCAGCAGCCATCTGAGCAGGGACAACGCTTTGTGGATTTGGAATCCAGGACTTTCGCTGGGTTCATGTGGTCTCTCTGGGGCTTTTACACCGTGCCCTGCTGCCCCTCCAAGGTGTCCTCCTCCTTCTCTTCTCTGGGTCCCTGTTAGGGAATTCTGCCCCTCCTCTACCTCCCTTACCCCCCTCAGGATGCCTGCTTCCTTTTGCTCCTAAAGCTCTTTCTCTCCCCTAGGCTGATCCTGGTCATGGTGATCTGTTCTCAGCACCTGGGCTCCTGCCAGTTACCTCGGTGCCCCTGGAGGCCAGCTGCAGCCTCCTCGCCTCACACTCACATGCCTGTCTTCCGGCTCTTCTCGGTATGTTGGGGTCTGGGCAGGGCGAGCTGAGGTGAGAAGGGCTGGCATGGAACGCTTGATTGGCCCGCTACCTTTGTGGTTTCTGTCTACCCCTCGAAGGCTGGCTTGGAAGGTTCCGGTCTCAATCTCGCCCCTCAGGTGCTGATACCAGTGGCCTGCGTGTGGATCATCTCTGCCCTTCTGGGGCTGAGCGTCATCCCCCCGGAGCTGTCTGCCTCCCCCAAGGCACCATGGGTTTGGCTGCCTCACCCAGGTAGGTCTGCTCTTCGTCCTTCAGCCTCTTAACTCAAATCAGAGGTCTATTTCTTTGAACTCAGGATTTAGTGAATTTCATTTCTGAGTTAAATCCCGTGCTTTCTCAAAACACCCAGGGGAGAGAAATTGCCAGTCCGAAGGGCAATACCAGCCCCTCACCGCAGGTGTTTTATTTAGTGTTAAGAGACATCTGCAAGCCCATCACTCCCTGTTAACAATCCTCATCCGATTTACACACTTATGCTACCTACCCTCACAAGCATTGGAGTCGGTGGCCCTACATATGAAGTTTGCTTTTGAGGCATTGTGTACAAAAGTTGTTCATTCGTCAACTTAATAGAGGTCTGCTGAGTGCTGATTATGTGCTGGGCATGTAGGGGACGTGGTGTTAAATATGACAGACGCAGTACCTATACTCAGGAAGGTTATATCTGCTAGGGAATGCAGATACTAATTATACAGTCACCCAAGTAAGTTGAAAATTACATGTGGTAAGTGTAACAATGGGGAGATGCGTTGTGTAACGACAGCTTATAACGGAGAATCTGACTTTACCAGAGACATCAGGAAAACTGTTCTTGAGAAAGCGATCTTTGAGCTGAGATGTGAGAAGTGAGGAGGTGCTAACAAGGTGAAGGCAAGGGAGAAGAGCATTCTAGGTGGGGAGAGCAGCATGTGCAAAGGCCCTGTGGTAGCCAGCAACACGGCAAGGACAAGGGCCTGAAACAAGGCCAGTGTTATCTGGAGTGAAGAGAGTAGGGCAGAGTGTGGTGGAAGATGAAGCCTTGTAGACCATGATAAAGGGATGAGTCCTTATCCTGAGTTTGTTGGTTCTGCCAGAAGACATTATCTTCAAAGACAATGGGGTCTCGAGGATTCTTGTGGCGCAGGCCTTTGGAAGCAGGGGGATGCTCCAGACTTGAGTCTGGCCTAAGGTGGCTTTTTCTCCCTCCCCAGGTGAGTGGGACTGGCCCTTGCTGACACCCAGGGCTGTGGCTGCAGGCATCTCCATGGCTTTGGCAGCCTCCACCAGCTCCCTGGGCTGCTATGCCCTGTGTGGCCGGCTCCTGCAATTGCCTTCCCCACCTCCACATGCCTGCAATCGAGGGCTGAGCCTGGAGGGTCTGGGCAGTGTGCTGGCCGGGCTGTTGGGGAGCCCTCTGGGCACTGCATCCAGCTTCCCCAACGTGGGCACAGTGAGTCTTATCCAGGTATGTGGACAGGGGTCGGGCAGGGGAGTGGAAGTACACGAGAGGGAAGGGAACTCACGCTGACCGGTTGCCATCTGTGTCCAGCATTCTGCCAGGCACGCCTCCTCTATGATCTCATTTAAGGAGGTGCCTAGAAGTGGTAACGGCTAGGACCGTGAGGAAGACACTAAGTCACCACTAAACTCCCATACCTCCGGCACGGTACCCTTGCTGGGGCGTCTGGTGAGATCAAGTCATACAAAGTCCTTGCTCTCTTGGGCACTTCAGAGAGGGAGAGGCAGACAATTAAAAAAAAAAAAAAAGTAAGATAGGTACAGAGCGTTAAGTGCTATCAAGAAAACGAAGCAGGTAAAAATTGAAAATAAACTCTTAAAAAAAAAGAAAAAGAAAATGAAGCAGGGTAGTAGGGGAATAGTGGTTGAGAAAAGGAGTGTCCTTTAGGTAGAGCGCTTCTCGGAAGGATCACATTTGAGTTGAGATCCAAATGATGAGAAGGGGCCAGCCAGGCAAAACTCTTGAAGAGGCAATCAAGGAGGTGGCTGTGTTTTCTAGCATCTCTGCTTCGCATAGGCTGGATCTCGGCGAGTGGCCCATCTGGTGGGACTGCTCTGCGTGGGGCTTGGGCTCTCCCCGAGGCTGGCCCAGCTCCTCACCACCATCCCGCTGCCTGTACTTGGTGAGTGGATGTATCAGCAGGACTGGTATTGAACCAGTACCCCCACCCCCACCCCAGGATGACCAACTGGTTGCTTGTGGCTGGCCCCCTCTCTTTCTGAACAGCACCCCTGACCTACGGGGTGTCAGCTGTGGGTCAGCTGCCCTCATTTTCTCCGCCCAACATCTTGGCCTCTTGACTGGGCTTCCGACATAATGGGAAAATGAGCCTTTGGTTGTCTCTCTCCATCACAACCTGCCCCACCCTGCAATACTCTCTCCTTGCCAGCCCTTCCCAACCCCTTTGATTACTTCCCTACGAGACAGGTGGGGTGCTTGGGGTGACCCAGGCCGTGGTTCTGTCTACTGGATTCTCCAGCTTCCACCTGGCTGACATTGACTCTGGGCGGAACGTCTTCATTGTTGGCTTCTCCGTCTTCATGGCCCTGCTGCTTCCGAGATGGCTTCAGGAAGCCCCTGTGCTGAGCACAGGTGGGGGTGGGGATGGGAAGAGGAGTTGGACAGTACTGGGAAAGCAAGGGCTGGAGGCTGGAGGCTCTCTAGACTCCAGGTCCCACACCCTTTTCTGTGATTTGGTGTAAATAGTTCACCCATTCGTTTAGCAAATATTTATTGAGCACCAGGCTAGCCCCTTCGGATATAAAGGGGCCTCCAGATGTTATGGTCTAACAAAAGAGATGACATGTGTAGGAACGTAACAGGAAAGGCTTAGATAAGGAGCTGGCTGGGGTGCTTGGCAGTGAGAAATGGTTTCTGCTTAAGATGATCCAAGTAAGTTTTACAGAACAAGTTAACACTGAGCTGGTTTAAAGGACGGTAAGATTTGAACATATTTAGTGAGAGGAAGGTCATTTCTGGCGGGGGAACCGTCCTAAACAAGGACATAGAAATAGGGTCATAGGGTATGTCTGAGGAGTAGCAAATACATTAGTTAGTGGAGCTTAGCAACTAGCAGTGGTACTCAACTGAGGATGATTTTGCCCCACAGGGAATATTTGACAATATCCAGAGATATTTTTGGCCATTACAAACGGAAGAGGGGATTGTTATTGGCATTTAGTGGATAGAGGGATGATGCTAAATATCCTACAATGCACAGGACAGCCCCCCTCCATCAAAGAATTATCTGGCCCAAAATGTCAGTAGTACTGAGGTTGAGACAACCAGGCTACAGCATAGAATATAGGAAGTGGGAAGTAAGGTTGGGACTTTTAATACCAAGCTTTCCAGAGCCTGGAACTACCAAAGCATATTCAGAGGGCATGTGGATGCTCAGAAGACAGGATGATAGGCAGGGACCTTGTGCGAAGGGCCTGGGTGGGGGAACTAGAGAGTAGGGGTAAAAGGTGGGGGAGATGGGAAAAGATCTGTCCTTAGCCCAAGACTTAGATTTAGGTCTAGAAGTATGACCCATTGGCCTTGCATAGGATCAGAGTTCCCCTCCTGCCTGGCCCCAACTTTCTGTAGGCTGGAGCCCCTTGGATGTATTACTGCGCTCGCTGCTCACAGAGCCCATCTTCCTGGCAGGACTCTTGGGTTTCCTCCTAGAGAACACCATTCCTGGTAAGCTGAGGCCAAGCCCCAGCACTGGGGAGCAGCCCGGATGTTATCACTCCCTGGGTAGGGCAATAGCCTGACCAACCTTTCTTTTGCAGGCACAAGGCTTGAGCGAGGCCTAGGTCAAGGGCTGCCATCTCCTTTCTCTACCCAAGAGGCTCGGGTGCCTCAGAAATCCAGGGAGAAGGCTGCTAAAGAGTACCAACTTCCTTTCTCCACCCCAAATTGGTCTCCCTGTATCCCCCAGCCCCTCCGTTGCCTCTGCCCTCTGCCTGAAGACCCTAGGAATGAGGAAGGAGGGGCCTGTGAGCCAGGAGAGACAGCAGACTTGTTGCTTGGCTTTGGGGAGCAGTGTCCTGAGTCTAGCAGAGAACTTAGGTCCCAGTGATTACCAGGACTCCTACCCCTGTCCTGGTTAGTTTAGCCCTATCTCCCAGCTTGCTGTGTGAGTCAGCTCCCAGGCTCTAATTTCTCCTAGGAAGAAGGTGTGTGTGTGTGTGTGTGTGTGTGTGTGTGCGTGAGAGAGAGAGAGAGAGAGAGAGAGAGAGAAATGGACCCACCTAAAGGTCTCACTTCCCAATAGGTGTGTTGCCTTTCCTTCTCTTAATTAGGCCTAACTGTTCCAGGCAGGGGCCATGGTTTAGTGGACCATGAGAATGAATGAATGAATGAATGAGATTTTGTATGTGAACTATCTATAGTCGAACCCCAGCATGCACTTAACAAATATTTATTGAGGGCCTCCCATGTGCAAGGTCTTGGAACTACAGATATGGAGAACAAAGGGTCCCTGCCTTCTTAAGGTACCTACCATTTAAAAAGCCTTCTGTAGGGGCACCTGGGTGGCTCAGTCGGGTAAGTGTCCAACTCTTGACTTTGGCTCAGGCACCGTGTAGGGCTCCGTGCTGAGCGTGGAGCCTGCTTGGGATTCTCTCTCTCTGCCTCTCCCCCCTGCTTGTGTGCTCTCTCTAAATAAATAAACATTAAAAAAAAAGACCTATGTAATTATTAATTAAAATCCAAGCCAGAAGGCAGTCTGTATTAAAGATTAAAACAATGCTACGGGAGCAAAAGAGAAGAAACAGTTAATTCTGATTGTGGATCGTGGCAAAGGCCTTATGGAAGAAGCAGCACTGAGGCTGGCCTTGACGAGAGGACTCTGGTTGTGGAAAGCGGATGGGGAGAATATGTCAGGCTCAGGCATGCAGCTGAAGCAAAACCGTAAATTGTACAAAGTACAAGATGAGTTGAAGGATTTTAAGTTTCTCCGTGGTGATGGAGCAGAAGCATGGGGGTAAAAATGGAAGGAGAAATGAGACAGGAGAGGTAAAGGATGAGGTCAGACCATGGGATTTATGCATGGAAGAATCATCTCTGAAACAACTTGAGCGCTAGTGAGGATCAGAAAATTAGTGAAGTTCAATTTCCTCATTTTATTACAAAAAAAAAGGGGGGGCTGGAAAGGTAGGGGAGGGAAGTGACCTGAGTTTATTGAAGGGTCCAAATCCTGGGACCCCTCTCCCGCACCTCATCTGCCACTCTTCCTACTCGGCCAGCGCGATTCCGAGGGGCGCCACTACTACTCCACTTTCCCAGCAGCGGGTCCAGCGGCCCTTTTCCCGCTCTCCCCGAGCGGCGGCCCCCCAGCTCGCTTTCTTCTGCCGCGAGGACCCAGATGCCCCGCCCACGTCGGGCCTCGGCCCCGCCCCTAGGTCCCGAAAGGCCTCTACTCTAGGCCTTTCGGTTTGCGCGGTCTGCTGAGAGGACGGTGGGAGCTCTCGCGGCCGCTCACGGTAGGTGGTGTCGGGTTCGAATCAGGGTCGAGGCCTCAGCTGGAGCCAGGCGGCGAGGGGCCCCCCGGGATTCCGCCGGCGTGCCGGGAGCCGCGCGCGGCCCGGGTGCTGCGGCAGGCCTCCGTGGGTGGGCGGGGCACGTGCGCAGCGCGTGCGCAGCCCGCCTTCCGGTGGCGAGGCGGGTTTGTGTGGCTACTGGTTGGCGGGCTCCTCGGAGCTGCAAAGCGACCGGTGGTCGGTTTTGTTACCCCCGAAGGGTCCCGAGCCGCGCCTCGGTGCAGCCACAGCTGTCAAAGTGGAGAGGCAGACGGCGAAGTCCTTCGCGGCGAGGGCGGATGGAAACTACGTCAGGCGACTCCTGGGGTGGGGCTGTGGTCAAGGGAGCCAGGGTTGGTCCCCACGGAGGGCCGAGGCGTGGCCCAACCCGGACGGTGGCTGGGGCCTTGCTGCCCTCTGCAGGATTGGTGGGGGAGCTGCGCCGAGAGAGGGGCTGGACCGAGGGGCGGGACTCGGTGCGGACCCGGATTCTCAGACTACCGCATCTGACTGTCGGCGCTCCTAGGCGTCATTCAAGAATAATAAATGGATGAATCTTATTAACATGAAGGTTAAAGACGGCCTTGAAGCCGGGGGGCGGGGGTGGGGGGAGGTGGGGAAAGATAAGATTCAGAGGCCTTGAACTCAATAGGACGCGCGTGGTGGGAGCATTGCCAATCCCAGGTCTGGTGCTGAATGTCTCAGACCTTCCTATGGGGCCTCTTGATCCTGAGCACGTTTTTTTTTTTTTTTTAATTAAAAAAAATGTTTATTTATTTTTGAGAGAGAGGGAGAAAGTGACAGAGCGCGAGCAGGGGAGGGGCAGAAGAGAGAGGGAGACAGAGAACCCGAAGCAGGCTCAGGCTCTGAGCTGAGCTCTCAGCGTAGACCCCAATATGGGGCTGGAACCTATGAACTGTGAGATCCTGACCTGAGCGAAGTCTGTGGCTTTAACCAACTGAGCCACCCGTGTGCCCCATACCCTGAGCGCATTTTAGACTCCTCTCCCACCCCCAAACAAGACAGAAAACAACCATACAGTTTGAGGGTTTTGAGCTTCCAGGCTTTCTGAAGTGTTAGGCGAGGAGAATCAACCCAATTTTGGCACTCTTAGAGGGTGCACTGAAGGGCTTGGCGACTTGTTCACTTGACTTTGTGACCTTTGGCAATGTGGAACTCTGGTCTGGTGAGGGCTAGCTTAATCATTCCAAGATCTCCTCCCTGTGGGAGCGGCAGATGGGAAGTGACTGCAGTCTCATCCTCCAAACACAAGGCTGCTGCAAATAAAAATCACAAAATATATTTACTTTTCACCTAACTGTTGACTGTACAAATTAAGTTTTATTACAAGATCCCTCTTCAAAAGCGAGGTTATGGTTGTAAGAATAAGGCTTAGACTGTGATGGAAATGACAGGAGGAATAGAGCCATGTTAATCATGTTAATGAAATCCAAGAAATTTCATTATTTCCTTTATATTCTAAGACGACTCTCTCACTTCACTTTGTATTTATAGACTGAAATAATGAAGGAAATTGTATCACTTTTTTTTTTTTACCCACAGGAAAAATGACCAGACTTCCTGTAAAGTAACCATAGTTACAGAACATCTACTAAGTTAAGACTACAAATTTAGTTGTTGAACTAGAAAAGTTGGTTTCCAGGAGTTCCAGGATATACAGCAGGGCATGACAGTACCTTGGGTTGGGGATCTGGGGGGATGAGTGAAATGGAAGTTAATGAATTGTCTCTACCTCTGCGAAATGCTGTGCCTTGTGTTTATGACTTCTTAGTCACCCACATTCTTCTCGAAATGGGATTTGGGGCTTTTTTGTTTGCTTCTGGACAAACAAAAGAGTTTATTAGGTCTGTATATGTGTGTCATTGATCCCTTTGAGAATTTGACGTAGCTGTGGACTTCTTCCTCCCAAATGGCTATACGCATGTTTGCATAGATTATGCATATAATTTCAGAGGATTCACAAGCACAGACGCTAGATTAAGAATCCCTGTGTTGAGGAATGTTTGTGTGTATAAATGCGTATGTATGTATATGTATATGTTTATATGTATATATGTATTTAGAGAATATAAATATATATTTGAAATTCTGAGAGTTTCTAGAGTTTTATTTCTAGATAATGATAAATAAGTTGAACTTCCTCCTCATGACACTTATGACTTATGATGTTTTATAAGACAAGAACTACTTCTAGAAGTTCTGGGACAGGGTAGCATTGATGTTTTTATTAGGAATGTGATAAAGATGCAACAAGAGGGGCGCCCGGGTGGCTCAGTCGGTTGGGCGTCCGACTTTGGCTCAGGTCACGATCTCACGGTCCGTGAGTTCAAGCCCCGTGTCGGGCTCTGTGCTGACAGCTCAGAGCCTGGAGCCTGCTTGGGATTCTGTGTCTCTCTCCCTCTCTGCCCCTCCCCTGCTCAAGCTCTGTCTCTGTCTCTCTTAAAAATAAATAAACATTAAAAAAAGAAAAAAGATGTAACAAGAATGGTTCAGGTTTCCACATTAAGTTATATTGTTAGCAAGCAGAAATACTCATACCAATATGCCAAGGCTTGAACACTATGGAAGAAAGATATTTTATGCCCTTTAGGAACTTAATTAAAAAAAAATTCTAAATAGATCTGTAGTGGCCAGGAGGTAGTAAAGTTGTCCAGCTGGTTACATGTGGGGCAGGGGATGGGAGTGGGGGGGTTGTGTGTGTGCGGGGGAGGGGGAGGATTTAAGTCCGTGCCTTCTGTCTTATGAGGGAGGAGTCTTTCACAAGGCTTATTTGATATAGAGCTGTTTGAGTGGTGCCCCCACCCCCAGGCCTGCAGTACCCCGGGGCACTTTCCTAAATTAAGACTTTCCTGCAGATGGAGGAACTGGAGCAAGGTCTGTTGATGCAGCCATGGGCGTGGCTGCCACTCGCCGAGAACTCCCTCTTGGTCAAGGCTTATATCACCAAGCAGGGCTATGTCTTGCTGGTTTCAGATCTGCAACAGGTGTGGCACGAACAGGTGGACGCTAGTGTGGTCAGCCAGAGAGCCAAGGTAAGTGTGACAAGAAGTCCGGCGGTGGGGCGGTTGTGGGTATGATTTCTGTCTCAGTGGAGGTCAGGGTACATTCACACCAACCAGCGTACTGGCCTGTAGGTTGCCAAGGGAGGTCAGATCAGGTTGAGACAGTTCCAATGAGTGTCCTGCACTTCTACCCAAACCCTTGGGATCTTTCCATTTGGTTGTACGTGTGTTAGTTTCTGCACGGCATGCAGTACACACACGATTGTGAAGGAGGCCAGTTGCTCTCTCTTTTTGTTTTCTTCTTTCCTGTTCCTGTGTCTTTTTCCCCTCCCTTCTCATGCCCACTGTCTTCATGTTAACGAGCTTTCCTTTGCTGTTGCGGAGTGGGGAGTCAGTTTCCTTTTAGTAGTCTCACTCTGTATGACCCCTGCTGTCCTTTTAGGAGCTGAACAAGCGCCTGACTGCCCCCCCTGCAGCTTTTCTCTGTCATTTGGATGATCTGCTTCGCCCATTGTTGAAGGACACTGCTTGCCCTGGCAAAGCTACCTTTTCCTGTGATCGTGTGGACGAGGCAATGATACTACGGGTGCAGAGTGAGCTCTCTGGTCTCCCCTTTTATTGGAATTTCCACTGCATCCTAGCTAACCCTTCCCTGGTGAGTGCAATTCAGATATGGGGTGGGAAAGGGGAATGCCAGCTGCTTTGAAATGAATCTTTAGGCGCTTTTATTTTTTTTGTGGACTGCATTTGAAATTCATCTCCATTTGGAAAACTTTCCTTGACTAGACAGAAGGCAAAATGGATTCTTGACTGGTGTATCGTATCCTTTACTTGCAGAGTTTGGGTTTACCTGCTTTATTGTGTGTCTTTATTCATTGCTTTATTCATTCAACATTTATTAGGTGTTTACTATGGGCTAATTGTTGGGTGTTTAGATCTAACACAATATAGCCTATTCCTGGAGTTCATAATCTAGTGAGAAGACAGACGGAAAACGGGATAAAGTATGGCAAATTCTCTGATTGAGGTAAGCTCAGGATGATCAAAGGTCCGAAAAACCTTTTTTGGAGAGATG